CTGCTGAACAATGACACGGCTATATGCAGGGTTCAAGTGTGCCATAAGCTAGAGACCATTCCCAAAGCTTCCCCTTATATACAGGAAGCAGACCACATCCCTAAGGCAGCTACTCAGCTGCTCACAGTAGATTCAACCGTGGAGTTGATTACCAGTCTCATCATGGGGAATACTACATTCAGCTGCCCAGCCACTCAACCAGGCCCAGCCAAGTTGGCACACAAACTTAACCACCACGAAGGTGATCCCACAGAATGTGGAAATTATCGAATAATATCATTGAAGATAACAATATTGAAGAAACAATATGACTGAAGGTAATTCAGAAACGATTGCAGCAGTATATTGACAGAGAACTTCCAGAACTGCAAGCTGGATTCAGAGGAGGATGTGGAATGAGGGATATCATTGCTGATGTCAGGTGGATCTTAGCTGAAAGCAAAGAATACCAGAAAGATGTTTACTTGTGTTTTATTGACCATACAAAGGCATTCAGTTGTGTGGATCATAACAAATTATAGATAACATTGAGAAGAATGGGAATTCCAGAACACTTGATTGTACTCATCAGGAACCTGTGCATAGACCAGGAGGCTGTCATTAGAAAAGAACAAGGGGATTCTACATGGTTTAAAATCAGGAAGGGAGTGCATCAGGGTTGTATTCTTTCACCATACTTACTCAATCCATATGCTGAGTAACTAATTCAAGAAGCTGGACTATATGAAGAAGAACATGGCATCAGGATTGGAGGAAGAGTCATTAACAACCTGAGGTACGCAGATGACACAACTTTGCTTGCTAAAAGTGAGGATGACTTGAAGCACTTACTGATGAAGATTAAAGACTTCAGTCTTCAGTATGGATTATATCTCAACATAAAGAAAACAAAAATCCTCACAACTGGACCAATAGGCAGCATCACAATAAATGTAGAAAAGATTGAAGTGGTTAAAGATTACATTAGATGTAGATCACTGGTAAACAAAAGAGTCTGTCTTCACATTTCCTGGAAGACAGTTCTCTTTGAGGAAGTGCATGGCATGGTGATACTTGTTTTAGAATGCCTTT